GCCTTCAGATGACTGCATTCCCCACTGACATCTTTAGAGAATCATTATGATAAATCCTGAGCCAGAACCACTGAGCTAAGCCACTGCCAAATTCGTGACCCTGAAATTGAGATGATATAAGTTTATTGTTTTAAGCTGCTAAGGTTTGGGGACATTAGTTATGTGTTAGTAGATAATATACACTATGCATTATAAGCAGTTACTCATGTCAAGGTAAATTGCTAATCACCAGGCTTGGGACTAGGGTGAGATAAGTACCTAGGGTACAAAATACAAGTAGAAATTTATATTGGGGTTACTAAAATTTTGTACTATAAAGTCCCTCGCTTCCCTCACCCTGTTCTCTGCTCTGATAGTCATTATTGCATAGAAAGATAACCCTCGGCAATCACTGATGGGTGCAAGATGGACAACAAATAACCCTTGCCACTGGGGAATTCACGCTACAGTCAGAGCTCATCGATAATGACAAGGTCAGATCATAGTGAGTAATTAATTCAGACATTGTCCTGGAGAACTCACAGAGAAATTGGTTTCGAGTTGGGCTTCAAGGATATGTAAGGTTTCAACGGTGAAGAGGAAGAAAGTGGCAGCCAAGTACATGGATTCCAGGCTGAAGGAGGCTGGAGAGCCCAGGAATGAAACAACCCAGTGTGGTGTTCCTGGCCAGTAACTGCCAGTGTGATGGAAAGGCAGGGTGGGGGCACAGATATCATCAGAGGTACTGCTGAGAAGGTAAGTTGGAGCTTGATCCTGAATGATTCTAACAGTCACAGCAAGGAGTTTGGACTTCATTCTGCAGGTAGTTAATCACATTTCTGAATAAGAAAATGATGGGAAGGACCAGATTTGCTTTTCTAAAAGTTGCTTTTCTTATGATAGAAACGTGAAACTTACCATTTGGACCAGTTTTGAGCGTACAGCTCAGTGGGATTAAGAACATTCACAGTGCTGTGTAACCATCACCAGAACTATCCTTACTCCAAACAGAAACTCTGTAATCCTTAAATAATAACTCCCTATTATTCCCTCCCCTAACCCCTGGTAACCACTATTCTACTTCCTGTCCTGGTGAATCTGCCTACTCTAGGCACCACATGTAAGTGAAATCATACAGTATGTATTCTTTTGTATCTGACTTATTCGCTTAGCATAAGGTCTCCAAGTTTCTTGCATATTGTGAAGGTCTCAGTCTTTCATGTCTTTCTAAAGCTGAATAATATTTTGCACGTATATACTATATTTTATTTATCTATTCTCAGATTTACTTTTTTTCAGTGGTATGGAGGACAGATAATAAAGGGGAGAGAGAAAGGCAAGGAACATGAGATGGGAGGCTCTACTGCTAGTCCAGAGGAGATGTAAGGGGCGGGGGCTGATGTGGGGACAGGACTGATTGGAGAAATATTGGAGAGAACCCCCATTCCTTTGGGCTGACTTGGGTGGACTAAACAGCTTTGAATTTTTGCTTTTAGCTGAAATGTGCTAACAGGTCACTGTTTAGATTCCTCTTCATTCTGTTTGAAGAAAAGATGTTACCATGTTCCACACTGTATATTTTATTATTCTGTTTTTTAAAAACATGTTTTTGGAAAGGAAGCAAGTGGCTACACAAAGCAGATCCAATACCATCAGTGACAGTAAATATTTCTAAGTAACTGATGCTTACGGTGATCATTCACAGCTACGTAATGAATCTGTAGTAATTGCCTAACATGGTATTATTTGGAATCATCCAAAAAATAAAAGCAGTATTCTGCACCACAATTATCCTGGTACCTTGTACGAGCACTAGGAAAGAAAATGTTCTATATAAGTCTTGGCAGAGAAGCATGCTTTAAAATATATATACCACAGCTATTTCAAGCTCTAATAATTCTGTCTTTTGTAAATTTTCTTATTCTTTTGCTCACGGAAAATGTTTTACTGATACAATCTCCTCTCCTCTCGAGGACAAAGCACCTACCTCAGCATTACAGGCTCAACAGGCATCCAATAAATATTAATTGATGGTGGTAATAACATCACCCATGAGAGAGACAGAAAGTAGTATTTATTGTCTTACCTTACAAATGAGAAAATTGACACATGGAGATGAAATGACTCACTCAAGGTCACATAGTAAGTTAGTGGCGGGGCAGGAAATAAAAATGCAAGTAATATAAAAGGGCATGCTATTATCCTCTCTGCTTGAGAAATTTCTCCTCCCTTTTTCATTCTGCCTGATCAACCTTGAAAGTTAGTGAGAGCAAGATCAGACTTTTCAGTTTGTGATCCTACGTAGTATGGCTGGGGCTTGAAAAACAAACCCTGAGAGTTTTGTTGCTTCCTTGGTTTAAACTGGTGGGTTTAAAAAAAAATGTAAGTAATATCAATGAGGTTAAGGCCTTTTTTAAACTTTATGATCATAAGCTATGAAAAATAGCTTTCTCTCTAACTTCCTACACACTCTCCTTTTTATCCTGTATCAGTCAGTTGTAATAAGATCTGTCAATGTTCTTTATAAGCATTTTTCAGATGTCCTCTGTAGAAAAAAATTCTGTACAGTAGAAATGAGACAAATACTTTGGAGTATGGAACTATTTGGGACTGCATCTCTCTTTTCACAATACCAAGAAGGAACAGAGATCCAGAACCTTTCCCTATGTTTCCAGTGACTAGCTAAGGGTTAAGCCATTTCTTATTCCTGCACCTCCATTGTCCGTTCTGTGAAATGAGTCTGAATTTATATATATATTATATATATATTAGAGAGAGAGTTTTAGAGACAGAGTTTTTACTTGGTTGCCCTTGGTAGAATGTCGTGCCATCACAGCTCACAGCAACCTCCAGCTCTTGGGCTTAGGTGATTCTCTTGCCTCGGCCTCCCAAGTAGCTCAGACTACAGGCTCTGGCCACAACACCCAGCTATTTTTTTGTTGCAGTTTGGCCAGGGCTGGGTTTGAACCCACCATCCTCGGTATATGGGGCCAGTGCCCTACTCACTGAGCCACAGGGGCCACCCAGTCTGAATTATATTATCACTAATGCTTCTTCTATATGTAATATTTTGAACTGGAATGTATTCATAGCAAATAGGCCATTAATCAAAATTCCTTTCTCTGTGTGGTATTGTGTCATTGGAAGCATATAAAATATGCTAAGTGAGTTCAGTTCCCACTACCATCAAGGAACATAATGAGAAATTCAGCAGTGAGATAGAAGTAAGTGTAGGAAAGATCAAAGTAGAGCTATCCAATAGTTTAAACAAAACAAATAAAAATGTGTTCCCATTGCCCGTCGCTCAGTGGGTAGGGCACTGGACACATACACCAAGGCTAATGGGTTTGAAACTGGCTAGGCCAGCTAAAACAACAATGACAACTACAAAAACAACAACAAAAAATAGCTGGGGGTTGTGCTGGGCACTTGTAGTCCCAGCTACTTGGGAGGCTGAGGCAAGAGAATTGCTTAAGCCCGAGAGTTTGAGGTTGCTATGAGCTGTGATGCCACAGCACTCTACCGAGGGCAATGTACTAAGACTCTATCTCAAAAAAAAAAAAAAAAGAAAGGAAAAAATACTTAGGTATGGAATACTAAAAATAAAGCACTTAGTACTTAGTATACATATTTAAAGAATATATATTGTATGTATTATTTGCTATTTTTATTGGATGGAATGTCAGTCCCTACCTTTAAATAATTTCTTTAGGGCAGTGTCTGTGGCTCAATGAGTAGGGCACTGGCCCCATATACAGTGGTGGTGGGTTCAAACCCGGCCCCGGCCAAACTGCAACAAAAGAATAGCTGGGCACTGTGGCAGGCACCTGTAGTCCCAGCTAGTAGGGAGGCTGAAGCAAGAGAATCACCTAAGCCCAGGAGTTGGAGGTTGCTGTGAGCTGTGACACCATGACACTCTACTGAGGGTGACAAAGTGAGACTCTGTGTCTTAAAAAAGAAAATAATAATAAAAAAATTTTTTTAAATGAAGTATGTGTCCAGAAAATCATGGACACATAAATTAAGTACTGAAACAAAGTATTAAATATAAGTGGTCACTAGGAATTAAGTGAAAAAGAAAAGATCAAGAGAAAAGAATATACCTTGGAAATAGGGTGAAATTTCCAAAGATCTCTATAAATTTCAAAATTCCTCTCTGTAGGAGGAATTTTATGGTTTTGTAAGACACTAACATGCTCATATTTAGGTTCATTTTTTAATACTTGAATATTTTCTGTGTTAAGTAATTTTCTTTACACATAATAAAATAGTCCTTCTCTCCCTTCCTGCTCTTTTTGTTTGTTTGTTTTTGAGACAGAGTCTGCTCTGTCACCTGGGCTAGAGTGTAGTGGCATCGTCATAGCTCACGGCAACCTCAAACTCCTAGGCTCAAGCAATCCTCCAACCTCAGCCTCCCTAGTAGCTGGGACTACATGTGTGTATCACCATGCTGGCTATTTTTTCTTTCTTTCTTCCCCCCTCCCTTTTTTTTTTGGAGACAGAGTCTTGCTATGTTGTCCTCAATAGAGGGCTGTGGTGTCATAGCTCATAGAAACCTCAAACTCTTGGCTCAGGAATTCTCTTGCCTCAGCCTCCCAAGCAGCTGGGACTACAGGTACCACCCATAGCACCTGGCTATTTTTGTTGCAGTTGTCATTGTTGGTTAGCTGGTCTGGGCCGAGTTTGAACCTGCTAACTTCAGTGTATGTGGCTGACGCTGTAACCACTGTGCTACGGATGCTGAGCCCCCTTTTTTTTTTTGGAAGAGACAGGTTCAAACTCTCACTCAGGCTAGTCTCAAACTCCGGGCCTCAAGCAGTTCTTCCACCTTAGCCTCCTAAAGGCCTGGGAATACACAAAGGTGTAAGCCATTGCACCTAGCCTCTTCCCACTGTTAACTTTGGTCACTGACAGAAGGGTTATATTTAGCACAATAATAACTTCTCTCACTTTGTTTTAATTCAGATAAAAATTGGTGAAAGAGAGAGAATGGGAACTAAGGAATTTAGACTATGAGAGAGAAAATATGAAGAAGTTCTCTCTCCCTGGGCTCTGTCCAGGTGGCGTAGGAGAGCACAGGGCTTTGCCCCATCATGTACAGTCCCTTTCCACAATGTTGGAGATGAAGCTGGATGTGGGGTCTGCACCTGCACATCCCTACGACTTCCTAAGGTCCCGTGGACAATGACTGGGGAGACAAACTATGCAGGAAAACAGCCCTGTAGAGCACCCAGACTTGGTTTACCTATTGATAGATTAAAATCTTTTTTGCAGAATTTGCTAACAATTCGAGTAAACTCCTGGGAATTCACTGATCATTTCAGTAACTCCTGGAGAAAGAAGAGCTGTACAGGGTGTCCATGGAGTTCATGTGAAATTTAAAATAGTCACGACTTTAATCACTGTTGACTTTGTTGTTTGAATTAAAATCTGCTGCCATCCAAAGAAGGTTTAGAAAACATTACAAGAAAGAAGCATCACACAGGAATTCCATATCCAAGCAGATGAAAAAATTTAAAGAAACAGGTTCTGTCAGTGATAAGCCATGTTCTGGTAGGCCGTGGATAAGTGAAGAAACTGTAGCATCTGTAGAAAAAACCTTTGAGACAAGTCCAAAAAAGTCATTAAGACAGGTATCCCTAGAGCCGAGGCTTCCAAAGTCTACTGTGCAGAAGGTTCTGCAGACAAGACTTCATGTGAAAGTGGACAAAATTCAAGTGCATCAAATGTCGTTAGAAGAAAATTATTATGCACGACTTTCTGTCACCAAAAAACTTAGCAACGATGATTCATTTTTGAGTAATTTAATGTTCTCTGGTGAAGCAACCTCCCACATTAGTGGCAAGGTCAACAGGTAGAATTGTCATGTTTGGGGAACTGAAAATCCACGTGAGTGTGTTGAACATGAAAGAGATTCTCCCAAAGTTAATGTGTGGTGTGCTTTGGGAAAAAATTGAGTCATAGGGCCATTCTTTTATGAATGGGGTATTGTTAATGGTGAAAACTAATTAGAAATGCTTCAAAATTACTTTATTCCTCAGCTTGAACAATTAGAACTGATAGAGAATACAGTGTTTCAAAACGATGGTGTTCCTTGTCACTTGGCTTTGCATGTTAGACAGATTCTATATGAGAAATTCCCTAACAGATGGATAGGAAGAGGTGGACCATTTTCTTGGCCTCCATGTTCGCTTTATTGGGTTTCTTTTTATGGGGACATGGAAAACTCATGTTTTTTTAACCAAGTCACAATATTTAGAAGACTCGCAAGCTGGGATAACTGATGTGATTGTTGGTATAACTGAAAATCAGCTTGAAAATGTTTTCCAAGAACTACAGAATCATATTACCCTTTGTATTGGTATTGATGTTGGACACGTTGAAAATTAAAAAGAACAATAAAAAAAAGTTTATTCTTTCGAATCTTTTTTACAGATTCTATCACTTATACTTACAAAGTTACTATTTTCAATTGTACAGGAACTTATGGACACCTTGTGTTACACTGTTGGGCATTGGCAACTAATACTTTATTTCGCATCCTTTGATTAGCAAAGGGTTGGTACATGTAGAGCAGAGAGAGTTTGAATCTTTGGCACATGCCTGGAAAAAGAGGGCATAAACCATACCTTTTTAAAAACTGCCCTTTAAACACAAAGTCTGTTAATGACGATGGAGTCATATGGGAATTGGTTACATCATCACAAATGACAGACTTAACCTTACGCCCAATTCCAGATGGGGCTGGGTGTTGGTGTGTATGATAAGAAAATATGGTCTGTGCCTATGATATGATAACTCTAAGATTGCTTAGCTTTTTTCCCCCAGTCATTAAAGAGTGATGTATTGGTTTTGATTTTGTCCAGTGTATGGATCTGTAATTTGCCTTGTAAAACCTGTAAGTTTTTATGAATTAAAAATAAAGATTACCTTATTTATAAAAAAAAATACGAAGAAGAAAAAGAAAGAAGGGAAAGAAAGAAATTAAGAAAAGAAATCAAAGGAAGGAGAAAAATAATGAAGGGAGGTTAACAACAGACAAACATTACAAAAAGATAAAAAGCTACAGGGCAGGTGGGGAAGCAAAATGGCGGAGAATAAAGGGGGTGGATGGAAAGGAAGGGGAAAAACAGAGAGAGGTGCTGAACTGGCATAAGCAGCTCTCATGTTCCTGCTGTGTTCACACGTCTGCTAATAGGATACTTTTGTAACTGAACTTTTAACCCTGGAACTTCCACTGTGTTGGCATTATGATTGCTGATGTGTTGAGTACTTTATAAAGTAAACAGAAACTAGTATCACGGGAACGTAGGCACTCACATACGCTGCCGCATAATCTCCTTGGACATGTTTTAGGGCTGGCAGATCTTTTATTATTTTTAAGCTTATGGACAAAAAAATTCATAACTCATAGAAGGCAGCGTTTTTTATGCTTCAATAGTGACTACTTCTTGGTCACTGCCTCCGTGTGTTGATGGGACACCCATCTCTAGTGCCATGACAAATGATGCCATATGGGTAGGAAAATAGTTTTTCTACAATGCCCAGAGTGCTTAATGAATCTAGTCATAAGCAATGACTTTTTTTTTCCTAACCAAATTATTTCCCAGCTTATTCTCACTATTCACTTTCTTGAGAGTATCAGTCAGGTATAAGCCCAAGGGAATAGGTAAAATCAAGGGAAAAAACCTTATAAATATTTCAAATTGTATATGAAACCAGCACATTGTACCCCATGACTGCCTTAATGTACACAGCTATGATTTAATAATAATAAAAAAAAAACCTTATAAAATAAGCCAAAACAGTGTCAGGGAACATAGACTCTTTGAGGAACTGGAGGGCGGCAGGGATGACTAACGGGCCAGTCCTTCCTTGGTGGAGAAGAAAGCAAAAAGAAAGGTATTGAAGGTGATTGAAGGTGCCGATAGGGGTGTGGGGAGGAAATGCGGGCTTAAAAGCTCTTGCCAAAGAAACAAAGCAAAATTAAAAGTCCTTCCAGACATATTCACATTGATTCCTAACGGTAGAGTGAAAAAAGAGCAGGACCTATGAGAGAAACACAAACCAAAGGTGATTTGTGTTTCTCTCCATCTAAAACCAGAAGACAAACTTGCAGTTTATGGACAGATCTGATCCCGAGGTCAACAATATGAGCACAGACCCTGGAATCATTTCACAGGTGGTCAACTTCAGCTATTAGATCAAATCAGGAGAGCATGATCGAATGCTGAGGGAGAATCATTTCTTTTTTTAATTTTGTCATGTGAGAGCCAAACTAGCTCCATTTTGTGGTTTACTGCACAAACCCCATTCCTGGCTGTTTACCGCATAAGTTCCATTCCTAGCCCTTCCACCCTAACCTCTACCATTGAAACCTGCAGGGCCACTCCCTGCTGCCTCCCCCCACCCCAGGTTGCACAGCCACTGAGCCGTAAACTGAGTCACCTTAGGCAAACAGCTGCTATAATAAACAATAAATTTCCATTACCTTGAAATACAGGTAATTTCCTTCCAGCCACCTAATCAGGCTGCACCAACTCTAGCCCCGGTTAAGAAACCCCCCACCCCTCACCTGTACCAATCCAAATTCACCTTTACTAGTAAAATCATCAGCTACCAATGCAAATCCTCCTTTACTAATGATATCACCAACCACCAATCAAAAATGTACTCGTACCCTTCTTCCCCTTTTTTGCTTTCTGTACCCCATAAAAACTGCCTTCACCCCGAGTTCGGGGCTCGTCCTAGGCTTGCATGCCAGGAGAGTCCAGACCTGGGTCTGAATAAAATCTCACCTCATGCCTTTTACATCGGAGTGTGTCTCGAATTCGTCTGTTGGGGCTATTTGGGATTTTCAGACCTAATAGTCAGAATGACAATGAAAGCAATCCTTTAAAAAATACACAAATTAGAAACAATTCACAAGCACAAAGACGTGGAATCGACCCTGTGCCCATCAATACATGAGCTGTTGAATAAAATGTGGTATATGCATACCATGTAGTACTACTCAGACATTGAAAAAACAGTAAGTGGAAGTGGAGACCATTCTTCTAAGTCAGGGGTTCTCAACCTTCCTAATGCCGCAATGTATTATCATTGTTAAAAGCAGTCACAACCCACAAGCCGAGAACCGCTGACTAAGTGAAGTATCACAAGAATGGAAAAACACCACATGCACTCAGTAGTAGATTGAATGAATCAATCAACATGAATCTGTGTACCTTGTGCACAGATGGTATTAAAACTCAATGGAAAGCAAGCAGGTGGGGGGAGGGGTGGATTCACCCTTAATGGGTACAATGTACATTATCCAGCTGATGGGCTCATTTATAACTTTGACTCAAACTGTAAAAAAGCCATTCACATTACCAATATTATAACCATGCCATTCTGAAATTTAAAAAAGGAAACCAAAACCATCAATATGATTTCTAATAATGTGCAAGAATTGGTTCACTCAGAGAAACATTTTCCGAATATGTTTATTTTCCATAGTTCATCTGTATGTGGAAATGAAGCTGTTCGGTTTCAATAAATGCCCCACTGAGATGGAACGTGCTAAATTTAGGGCTACTCTTCACCATTAGTACAACCAGGAACTGTCATCAAAGGGCCTTGGTTATGTCCCGGTTTCCCCCTGTTGTGTCTGGCAAGGAGCTCTCTACCTCCTGGTCTTTTCTTATGCGTACAATACTGTCTCTGCTATTTTTTTCAAGGGGCAATCTCACGATCTCATCATCTCACCCTGCAAGGTGCTCTCTATCCCATGTCTGGAACTTCAGTGCCAAAGGGGACAGTTTGTGTAGCGGAAAGAAGAGTTTTGGTCTCAGAAATTCTAGATGTGGAATCTGGATGTGAATGTGGCTTTCACAGATGAATACGGTGTAGCTCGGTCACTTACCATCTCTGAGCCCTCAGTTTCCTCTTTGTATAATACTCAAGTCTCAGAGTGATCATGAGACTTGATTAAAATAATATATGGAAACCTTCTGACACATAAAAGGAACTTAAAATAGTGGAATTAATATTTGTGATTTCATTATAGGAGAAGGCCATTCTTGACCTGAATGATTTTGAGGGGAGAGGGCATTTATTTATCTATTAGCTCAAATTATGACACTTGAATTTCTAATTTTTTGACGAGGGAATCAGATTCAATGTGTGTAAGTTAGCATTTTGAAAAAAGTCAGTAAGATAATTTTGGGACTCTGCT